TCTAGCGATGAATCAGTAAAAGACGGCCTCTATCGTCAAATAAACGAGCTCTTTCACCACAGAAGAAGCACGGACACTGTCGTGCTGGCGGGGATCTGGACGCTCAAATTTGGAAATTGTCCACTGATGAGCAGCATTTGGGCGACCATCATGGTGTAGCCTACCGTAAAAATAACGGTGAGCAATTACTTCATCTGTGTGTAGATGCTCGCTTATTTCTTGCAAGCAAGCACTTCCGACACAGCATCCGTCGGAAGGTGACATGGCGTCCACCAGGCTCAAACCGGCCATGGACACAAATCAAGCAGATCGCGATCAGTTATCGCTAGATAGGCTGCGTAAAAAATTGTCGCTCGACTTGGAGCACATGTGTGCACACCGACCATGCATGTGTTGACCTGCGGATGCGTTTCGACGGACGCCCACGATGACGCTGTGAGCGCATTGACACCAGCCAACTGACAAAGCCAGCTGTTCTGAATGCGTATCGAAGTACGTTGACATGCGAGTTGAGTAAGCGCTCACTCGGTACAACTACAGGTCATTGGTTGCAGGTTCACCAGACCTTACTAGTAGTAGCCAAATCCTCATGTGGTATGTCTAATAGCCAACATGGACATTGGGTCTCTTCGTAGTCTCTGACACTTATCGATGCTCACCGGCATATTCCGCTGGAAGCGAATACAACGAGACCCGCAAATACATCAGGGCAAAACTCCGTGTTAATATGAAGTGAAATCACAAATATTGGTGGTCTCTTCGTGCGTCAGAGATGAAAGTGGTCGCTGCCCTTGGTAACCATCGAAAGTTATTCCGTCTGATACGGGAAACGGGCAGCAGGAGACCTAGTGTTAGTGAAACTATACGTGGCTAGAGTGGACAGCCTATCCAGAACTTGTCAAAACGTTTGGAGTGTTGGACTGAACATTTTGAAAAGCAATTCGATCGGCCAGGATTGTTAGATTCTTCACCGGCCAATGATTGCCCTGCTCCCTGGGCTATCCCCTTGGATCCGCCCTCTCGCTCAGAAGTCGAACGTGAGATAGGACTGGTGAAGTGGAACAAGGCCACGGGACCAGATGATCTACATCCAGCCCTCTACGGATTAGTAGTGAAACTCTGAGAGCAGAAAATTGTCCCAACCGACTGGAGCCGCTCCGTTATAGTTCCCCATCTTCAAAGAACGCTCGCGTTCGGAATGCGGTAACTACAGGAGAATCAATCTGATCTCCAGCGTCTCCAAAATACTCGCCTCTGTAATCCTCCACAGACTGACTGGCGCTCGTGAAAGTCAGATTCGTGAGCAGCAAGACACGTTTCATTGACGTCCGGGTTACATCGACCACATCTTCACCTTGCGTCAGTTGTTGGAGCACCGTCACACACATTGGCGGCCAACCGTAGTCGTGTTCTTCGACATCAAAGGTGCCTTCGATTCGGTGCATCGACTTGCCCTTTGGCGCTGTCTAGTAAGGAAAGGTGTGCCCGTGAATAATGTAAATACTATGCGAGCACAGAATGAGGGTTTACGGCAAGCTGTCGTCACCCTTCAATATCTCCAGCGGTGTGAGACAAGGTTGCCAGCTGTCACCTGTCCTCTTCAACTTCGCTATTGACGAAGTCATGGAGACCGCGTTCACAGGACACGACTTAGAAGGTGGGGAGTTGCTCTCAGGTGAACGACTTCTTGACTTGGAGTATGCAGACGATATTGCCCTCATCTGTGACAGCTCACAAACGTGCCAAGCCGCGCTGGACAGATTAGCACTGGCTGGTAACGGTTTCGGGCTTTGTTTTGCACCATCGAAATGCAAAGCGTTCCTCCAGGATTGACAGGGATCGCCTCCTGCGCTGACCGTTGGTGGGGATCAGCTAGAAGTCGTTCAGAAATTCAACTACCTGGGAAGTTGTATCAGCGCCCTTGGGATCGAAAATGAGATCACGAACCGTATAGAAAAAGCTCGAGGTGCTTTTGCTAGTCTTTGCCACCTATGGCGGCGGCGCGACATTACGCTCGCCCCGAAGGTTAGAGTGTACAATGCAACGGTACGTTCGATCTCATATGCGGCTGCGAAACCTAGCTCCTTAGATCAGCCGATATGACGAGGCTAGTTGTGTTCAACCACCGGCGCCTTCACAGTTACGCTCACATCTGGTGGGAACACCGCGTGAGCAACGAGCCTCTTCGACGCCTTGTTTACGGCACAGGAAAAGTAACTGAACGGCTCAGCCCCGTTATTTCACGCACCAGGCTCCGATGACTGGGCCACTTGTTGCGCATGCCAGCCCACCGACTCCCTCGACGTGCGTTGTACACCCGCCGGTGTGTGGGTGGAAGAAGAGGACGGGTGGTCAAGCGATGAGTTGTTTGAGAGGAATGAAGGCCCTCACTTCGAAACTGGCCTCGGTCATTCTGGTTGGGGTCAAAAAGACGATGAACACGTTTGGCTAGATACATTTGCTGACATGGCTAGGAGCCGACCTCAGTGGTGTTCGTGCTGGGAGTTTCTTTCGCCGTTCCCATTCATTTTAGCTTCACCCTCCAACCACGATCTGATTTCGTAGCACAATATAAATTAACATAAAAAAAATTTTGTTGCCTAGTAGCCGGCTGGTAGCTTTCCAGAACGATGCCCATCCGTTGCTGGTAGCTCAGCTGGCATAAAACTGTTGTATTTACTTTTTCTTCTTTTTTCTTCTGTATTACGGCACAGTAGCTGAAGTATTTTACACCTCTGCCTAACGTGCATAATGATGATGATAATGGCAGCGCATCAGCGAGGCGTCGGTGATGCGTACCGGCGTACTGCTGATACCTTCCAAAAAGGGCGCACTAAAATCGAAATTCAAGACCGTTCTATTAAGAGAAAAGCAAATGATTTAATATGGTGCAATTTCGTGTCACCGAAGTACTTATAAACTAGCAATAAGGTTAACGCTAATGTGGTGATTGGTCGAAATTAATTACCAATTAAAAGAGAGGTCACAGACAATCGAGTACAAAATTTCACGAGTTGCGGTGAAATGTCACGAATCCAACAGCAGTCTAAACCTAACGACTGGCTACAATTGTTAGCACACAGTTCACTGTTGTCAAATGATGGCCTAAATCTTCTCCCACATATAGGCTCTGGCGTTTTCAATGCGTTGGACAATCGTGATTGTTGGGCAAAAGTCATCAACCGCCGGTCGTCACTTTCGAGCCGTGAAATCATCAGACTGCGCTACAACGTGTGTGTGTGCGCGACCGCTTGTAGGATCAACCGCTTAATACGTCACCTTGGAATATATAACCCAACCTAGGATACAACTCATGTGAAGGTAAACAATCGTGCAGGCATGTAGATGGTGAGATGAATCGGTAGTTGTAGTTCGCCTGTATAAGCAATCTTTTAGTCAAGGCACGAACGCAGTAGTAAGTGAGCCGGATCCTAATAGGGGACTTGAGCAAGCAAGCCGAATAGAGGTACACCGACGAGCGCGAAAAGAACAAAAATGAAGATGTGGACAAGAAATTTTAAAGGAAATCATTAGGTAATAGGTGGTGTAGTTCAACAAAACAATAGACGGAGGTTTGGTGCAGTTAAACCTTAGGGACGATCGTGTACACGCTTTCTGTGATCAGCAGTAGAAACATTTGCGAACAGAAAGATGGCAGATAAAGCCCATTTACATGGGTCCACACTCACGGATACACATACAAGGGAAGAACGCAAAGCATCAATAAGAACTGTCGGTTGAACAGACGGCACCACATGAAAGCAGATACTAGCGTAGAAGCTAGGCGAAGTGAGTGCAATGAACGGGAGAGGGTGGGAATAAGCTGGACAAAAGTAGCATGTGTCATTATAATCCCAGTAACCGGGGCACACCTGTAATGCTTCCCCATTGGCATTAGATATAAGGCAGATGCGCTGGGGAGATAGCCAGACGTCAGGCATACATTGACCATCATAACGAGGAGGTAAAACTCTAATGCAGATGCACTGCAATGCAATAATGCGGCACAGTAGCTGAGGTGTTTCCAATCTCTAGCTGACGTGTATAATGACGATGATAATGAATGCAGATTACCTGAAAGCGCATTGAGTGGTAACACGTGGAAACATTTGTGCCTCCGTGTTCCTGACAATCACGACCATTTAGGTCGTCATTCATTCATGGACTTAACGAAAAAGAGATCGAAACCGAACGCAAGAATCTCTTTCCTGTGGTCTACTTTTCACATAAAACAAGTGCATCAGATCAGATAACGAGATCTCTCGTAACAACCACGGAAAATACAGGGAGTTCATAAAAAACATCGTCCAGCGAACAAAGCTACTCTAACAACGAAAATTATCGTACTAGTGCAGTGGCGTTCTGTGTTGAACATTGAGTAGAAGATAAACACAAGCGCAAATAAGGTTCGGAATTACGGGACTCTTCGAACAACTCCCATCCAATTTGTCAGACAGCGACTGCTAAAGAAACAAATCTGATCCCTAGGGATGCGAGTAATGAGAAAGAGTAAATAGCCAAGAAGCAGTGTGCATGAGGTGGGACGAACGACTGCGACGCAGACGGGCACTAAGGAGTAACCAAAAGTTAGCTGTGTTCCGCATAGACTGGGAGTCTTGAACTGGTGTGCGTTATCCGCAATTGACAACAGGATAGTCGAGTTGGGTCAATGGTGGGTTAACGTTAGGTTGGTGGCAGGTGACATAATTGGAACGCATAGGTTACAAAGAAATGTTGTTATGGTAAACAGTGTTCCGAGCAGTCACCAGTATAACTACTAAGAGCAACAAATCAAAAACATGTTTCAATACAATACTCTAGTTACCTCAAGCTGCCCATTCGGACACGTATACCATCACGAAGGATCACCATATCCATAAACTTGGCAAAAGAAACGAGGACCGAAATGCATGAATAGAACTCCGAGCTCTAGCCAGAGGTGTGCTGGCGGCTGAGACTGGGGGCGGATGGAATGGATACAGTGCCGATGGACTGGGGGGTCAATCAGACGAAAGTCGAGCATGGACGAGTGGTCCGGTCTAGTGCAACAGAAAAACAGCAAATTGGACCCGTCGGTTGTACGGTGAGTGGATGGCCTACGCCTCAGACCATTGTAGCAACGCACGTAGCTGGGGCAGATAGTCAATTGAAGAAGCATCTGACGAGTAGACGAGTGACCAATTGGACGCTACTCAAGAGAACTGATTACGCGGAACGAACCCGGCCCAATGTAAACATGACACCGTATGCAGAACTAGCACGAACCAATCGGATGCAACTGACGTTACAGGCCAGTTAACGGACTACATCGAAATATTGTATGTTCTCCATAGATAACAATGAGTCTAATTATAAAGAGTTTGTGATCGTTACCCAGACTGTCTTCTTGATTCACGGAGGGCAACACGGCAAGTGGTAGGCGTACAATGAAGTTACCGAGAGGACCCATCGTCTAGTGGTGCGCCTTGTAACCCTCATGCACCCTGGGAATTCAGCTGCGCACATAACGCAATTCACGGAGAAATGCTTCAGATTATATTCAGTCCCCGGTTGAATGTATTGTCTACAACGTAAATACCTAGAGCCGGTGACTTCGTACCAATATGGAAGCGAGGAATGTAGTCAGCCCTATAGAAATCCGCACCTCGCAATGGAAGATGCATTGCGACACCACTACCTTGAGTGTTTCGGTGACACAATAAACAAACACCATGAAAGTGAAAATTGCGAACCAGTTTTGCCTGTTGACTGGACATAAAGTGCGGACACTGGAAGTAACCTTTGTGAGATAGGAGTCTGTGCCCGAAGGATGAGTTGGTTAAACAGCCAAACACAGCAGCGAACTGGAGGATAGCATTGTTACGATTAACCAGGAGACGTAACAACTACAAAGATAGAGTCGGATGAATAAAGAACACCAACGACGAAGTTCAGTGCGTTGATAAAAGGCTCAGACCGAAGATTGAAAGACGGTCTTTTTGCCATTGACTCGGGCGGTTCAGGCATGCAACTGCAGCCTAGAGGTGAATAGGCTTGCGGCTGGTCGTGTGCAGTCATGTTAGGTTTGGGACACTCAGCGTAAACGTTTCGGCTGCAGATGATGCATATGTGACCTTAGTAAATAATCTAACAGAATGCCTCTGATTTGAAGAGAGTAGTCACAAACCAACAAGCAGCGATTGTGCCCTTCCGCTACCAGAGACAATTCGTGATGTTCGTACCTCAAGCTAAACAAGTTGAGTTCATAATTCGTAAACTGGTCTCTTTCATAGTAGAATTTTGATGGAAGGAGACAACCGACGGCTCCATTACCAATGAGGAAAATGCTGAAACTGAAGGTGAAATCGATGAATCATTGGCGCTGCTACTTTCGTTCCCCGCTCCCAGTTTTTGGTCCGTCCATGTTAAGGTTCAAGCTTTTCCCAGTTAGCTTTTCCTATTCCACGCCTTTCTAATTCCTTGTTACCAGGTAAATGATAAATGATAATGATAAATGTTATATTCCTCGGTGTTTCGAGGTGCAGTCCAACTATGTGGTGACGCTAATCAATCGACCAAACCCATATTTGGTAAGCCGAAATGGATGGGTAAAACCACTCATCTTTCACTGCTGAGTTTATGCCAGTGGTCGCAAAGAGTATCCAGAGGAGCGACAGATAGACAACATTCCCCATCATCGTGCACACTAGCCACGGGCGATGATGTATCCAAGCTACTATGCAGTAATACAATTCAGGCAGATGGAAGTGGAAAAGCAAAAATATTAGTATCCTCTATTCTATATTATTTACATCGAGATTGTGGTTGGATGTGGGGGTTAAGTAGGAGACGAACAAACAAAGAAACCCAGTACACCGAAGCCAGCGGGGTCGGTTCTTCGCCACGTTAACAAGTATATTCAGCAAAATGTATGTATCGTTTTTCGAACCCCAGAAAGAAAGTTGAGACTCCAACCAAGGCCAATTTCGAGAAGTGGGACTTCCTTCTGAACAAGTAATCGACTGGTTGCCCCTTCTTCTCTTCCATCTACACTCCTGGAGAGCAAACAACTCGCGTCGCGGGAGTCGGTGTGCTGGCATGAATAACAGATCACCAAGCTATCGGAGCCTGGTGCGTGAAACAAAGTCGCTGGGCGGTCCATACGCTTTTCCTGCATCAAATAAACGACGCCGAACACGGCCGTTGCTCACGCGATATACCCACCAAATGTGAGCAAACTGCAAAGGCACCAGCGATCTAACACAACTAGCCTCTTCAAATACGTCGGACTGATGGTCCAAGGTTCACAACTGTACCGGTTTGACCAGACAGCTGCGTTGTACATGCTACCCTTCGGGGCAACAGTGATACCGCGCCAACGACACCAGCGGGGAAGGTTAACAAAGGCGTATCAACATTTTTCCGAGCGGTTCGTAATCTCATCTTCCATTCCACAGACAAGAATATAGCTGGTTAGTTACTTGGAATTATGGATGACTTCTAGGATCTGGGAAGAGATGAATCACTGACAATCTGGAGGATGAAAAGCAAAGCACGAAACGACTGACAGCCAGTGCTGCGTGGTACGTTTGGGAGCTGTCACAGGTTACAACAATGTCATCGGCATACTCCACATCAAGAAGTAGGTCACCGGGAAACAGCTCCACATCTTTCACATCGCGTCCAATAAATGTAGTCTTTATAAGCTCATCAATAGCGGAGTTAACATGTAAGGGTGACAGCAGACATCCCTGACTCGCATCGTTGGAGAAATTGAAGGACCGCGACAGTTTGCCATAAGCCCTTACTTCGACCAAACTACGCATGCGAAGCGCTCTGATTCTGTTTATGGCATACCTGGTCAAACAAATCCATAGGGCATATCGATTCACCGAATCAAGTCCAATAACGTGACGACTACCGTGTGATACACGGTAGTCCCAGCCGTGTTTTAGGATTTTCTCTTGGCGCAACGCCGTGGGTCAACAATATAAATGAGGGTGCTCTAACAAGTAATGTTAAATGGAGACGTACTGAAGTACTGTCTCGATTTAGACCAAATCCGGCTTGCAGTTTACGAATTTAGCTTTCACGTGTTCCAGTCCAAGTAAGTTAGACGAGATCAAGAGCATCATGACACCCTTGTCATTGCTGTATTCCGAACGTGAGCGTACGTTGAAGGTTGGAACAATAACAGAGCGCTGCCAACCGGTTGGGATGGTTTCCTGCTCCCACAGTTTCTCTGAGAAATCTAGTGAATCTTCCACGAGAGTAGATCCCACGAATTTGAAGAAGAAGAATAGAAGAAGTTCATCTGATCCTGCAACGCAAACGAATTTCAGTAGTCCGATTTCACGTCTGATTTCTGCGCGAGGGGGATCCAAAGGGGTGGTTCAGGAAGCAGGGTAATTACTGGCAGGCATAGAGTCCGGTAGCTCTCTAAAGTGCTCAACCCAACGCTCCAAGCGTTCTAACAGTGAAGTTAGACGGGCGTCAGCAGACGTAAATGAATATGGTGACCTCGAACTGTTTCATCAGTGGCCCTAGCAAGCAACAGACGTAGAAAAAAGTCGACCTACGCTTGAGACGTGTAACCCTGTTGAGCTTAATGATTAACGCAGGGGAAGCAAACAATTGCACGACACTGCGATTCACTATAATCTAGACAAGTAAAATGTTAAAATCTGAAACGAAACCCAAGATAATGAGTGAAAACCCACAGGAATCGACGACTAAGAAATCTTAGATCATTGTGCTACGATAGGAGCTGTAACTGCGCCACTTCAATAGGCACTTCATTCTGTCGTTATGTGTGTGTGTGTATGCCGAAACCATCAGGTATACAGATAGAATAAAAATGTTGGATAACAAGGGGTAGTCACACCTTCACGAACAAGGGAACAAGTGAAGAGGGAAAAAGTCACACAGGTCTCGATTTCATGAAAGAGGAAATGAGTCCAATAATGAGAAGCACTGTTGACTTCTTTCATGCCACATTTCAGCAGATGTTCGCGTTAATAAGACGAAAAGGCAATACTGCGAGCACTCGTGGCATGTGACCCAACAGCCGCAATCTACTGGATTCTGGCTATGCGCCAAATGAGCTGATCACCACTGTGGTAGTTCAACAATTCGAGTGTTTAGGAAGGCTGTAGTAAAATGTAGCACGATTTGTGAAATCGCATCCTTGCGGAAAAGAACGAACTGCGAACACTAACAAACCTTGGATGTTGGAACAGGTATGAGATAATATTCACTGTGAGGGACATGTTGCGGAAGTCAGAGACTGACAGAGGCTAATCGGTTGCTCAAAACGAACCAGAGGGAATCGAGAAAAATCCGCGGTGATGCATCAAATAGCCAACGCTCAGGGAAACAGACGACAGATCATCGGTAGCAGACAGTAAAGCGCAGAGTGATATAGCACCACCTTATCTGTTGCGTGGGTGGGTTTCAATATATACAGACAAAATTTTATTAACACGAACAGCAGGGGTGACAGCGAAGCCCACTCTCAGGATTTATGAATGCTATCCAAGGAAGCTGAGAGAAGTGAGAAAGGACGATAAGGACTCTGTTCCAGTAAACGATGACCACGGATTTATGAACCACGTCACAGGAGACTTAAAACCTGTAAGACACGATGAGAGCTTAAAACCCACCACCAAAATTGAACGAAAACATCCGCAGGTGTGAAGTGAAGTCCCCGGCAACCAATATCTCACCAGTTTCGAGGACGGATAAAAAAGCATAAACACCGTTGCAAGGATGGAGGAAGAACTTGGGCTATCAGAGTGGGCTGATTAAAACAGAATGGACAGGGGATAGCGTGTTAAACAAGATGGATAACAGAAAAATACAGGCGCAAGCTACGGCGCCTGCTCACGCGGTATGCAGATACGCGAGAAATCAAGTCAAAAAGGGCTAGCGAAGGTTGCAATACATAGAAAACGAAACGAAGTTGGCCGTCACCATGGAAATTCAGTGTGATTTACGCTCACAACCATTCGCAGCCACCAGGGATGAAAAACGCGCGTAAATCAAAGACGATGTGAATGGAGTCCAAAAGATGGAAAATATGTACATGTGGAGCAAATGGTCATAGTGGCCTATCGAACATACCGTGTAATGTGTTCGATCGAGTTGCTTAGTATCCGCAATCCTATTCTCACCGGCATGGTCGGGTGTGACGGTGGTTTTCGCTCCATTCTTAGTGACAGCTGTCGGTCGACCGCGTACCATGGAGGAAAAGTTTTGTGCTTGTCGTCTGTGCCGCTGAGCGTCATATGTGTTGAAAAGAGGATGCAAGATTGCGTGGAGGTATGAAATGGGAGTATGAAGACAAAGTTGGACAAGAGAGGAGAGCAGAGTGAAATTCCAGAGAAATAAGTTGTAAGGTGAGATAAAGAGTTCACTGTGAGGTATCATCAACGGGTGCTAAAGGAAGAATTAAATGGCGCAAACTTCGAACCAGTAGAACAACATACAAACGCGATCGCAAAGTAAGCATTGTCCGGGAACAAAGCGAGTATTCTAAATATTACAGTGAAGCTGGCGGGCGAGTGAACAAAACATCTGGCAATGTTGAAGTACGTTTGACACAGCAGGTAAGTGGTGAATCGTGAGAACAACAAATGAAGGAAAACTGGTGCAAACGGTAGGGGATCGTTTAATGTAGTCAAAAATATTTACGAAAGAAAGTAAACCATAAGGGTGAGTAAAGTGTGAAAGTGGAAATCCCATAAGCGCAACAGAGAAAAATGTGTGCCACGAACCCACGAACCCATGTCAAACAAACCAAATATGGTGAGGGTCTGTTCGACTGATTAGCGTTACCTTGGTAATAAAGAAGAGGAAAGACGCCAAGTAGGAAAAACTAAGTGGGAAATAGTATAATATGGAAAGACCAAAAAACTGGGAGTGAGGAACGAGAGCAAGCGCATCAATGATCCCTCGATTCCACGATGACCGATGGGATCTCCAACTACTGAGGTAGTCAACTCCGAGGCCCACAGCCTGAAAGATGGTACGCACTGAAGTGGCCAAGTGCGTACGTCGGCGCGTAGCTAAATGTTGCAAGGTAAAGCGAGGCCCTGCATTTGAAAACCTGCAACGTCCCTAGGGAGTACAACTACTATGGCCCATTGAAACTGCGATGAACAATTGTAACAAGGTGAAGCTGCTTATTCAGAGAAAAACTGTAATCATTGACTGTAGAGTGTAACAATGTTGGTGATATTGAGTTCGGTTGGTCTGTCCCGGTATCAGTCTCGTACAAGTACTGGGCGTAATCCGGTGCTAGGATTGAGAGTACCACAAACGTTCCTTCAACTAATTCACCTGAAATAACAGGTGGCATACGGTTATGAATATATCCAAAACTTTAATCCAGGGACGAAATGGAAAAGTGGCGGCAAATTGCGCGTTCAGTGCGGGCACCCAACAAAATAACAGACTCGGAAAGTTAAGCGATGCACGTCCGAACAACTTTGATGGAGTATCTATCCAGTCCAGTAATCAAGTCTATGTTCGATGTCGTGAATGAGGAAATTCTCAAGACAAGTGGCGAAATATTCCCAAACTAAAAGCTAACAGCGGGAGCACCAGAATTTCAAAACGGATAGCATGTTTCGTACAACACACAACATCGGTTCCTTTGGTGATGAAAAACAGGCAAAAGTAGGTAGCTATGTAGGAATTTCAAACTGCGTGATAACAATCCGTCTTAGTTCACTCGTAGTGTAAAGGCCAATGGAGGTGAAGATCGGTTATGAATGGTCAAAGAAATGAGACAAGTTAGTTATTCCCCTTGACCGAAAACTACATTTGAATCCATCGATCGTTCCAGTTTGTGGCACTATCTTTAAAGATTGCACCTGAGAGTTTTATCTATTCTGAAATTTATCCTGAGTTCACAACGATAAGTGGGGCGAGCAGTAATGTCATGATTTCTCATTGCTCATGAGATTTATGAGTAAAAAAAAGATAAGGCTGCTTTTTCTGTTTCTTTACGTGTAAAGGTACTGCCAGGTGATCAACTGGAAACTTTGTGTTTGTGTATGTGGAGTGCGAAGATCGCTTTAAAACGGTGTTGCTATAGAGACGAACGCAGAATGTTGTCACATAACTGCGCTGGCAAGCCACTACTACTAGACGTCACTGAACGACCACTCGAGGTGGTTGAGCAGTTTACTTATCAACATTTTATCATCCCGACTAATGTGTGTCGAAACGGTCCGTACGGCTGAATAACACCGTGATCACCAGTGCTTACCGCAAGATATCGACCGATCGGCTAACAGCAAGGTGTAGAACCCCTGCGTGTTGCTACAAGACTACTGCGCTTAAAGACATTAGGAGAATGGTCAGCTTCAACTACCAGTGCGTCTCGCAGCTGAATCGTATACGAAATCTTGACGGTGTCGTTCGTCTGTCCTCCAGCCATCATCTATGGTGCGTGTTGAAAGTCGGTGCTGCTTCCTGTTTGGTACTTTTCCGGACACTGATGACTGTCTGACAGAGTCCAGATGCCTTGAAATGCTACCTATAACATTAAAGTATTCGTACTATTCTCTTGAAACCAGTAGATAGTGGAACACATGCGCACATAGTATGCTGGTACTGAGACCACAAGAGAGCTGCTCATAAGCCGAGATAGTCATGCGAACGCGCAAGACCAGTGAAACATGTGCAGGAAAGTGCGGAACGAGTTGAACAACACTGTACTCGTAGATAGGTGCCAGATACACTCTCCGGACAACGTTGCATTCTAACCGAAAGTAAAGCTAATCCGCTTACTAAACCTGAAGAATATCGATACGGTGTGTGCGATAGAACGTGAGACGCAAGGCATTCACTATGAGTGCAACGATCGATCGCCAATCGCGCCGTCTGAAGCAGTGCGAGACTACCACCATGAAACAAGTTGACCATAGAAGGTAGCCGCATGAATAGTAAGCAGCGGTTCACTGTGGTCGGACTGTTGTTAACAGAAACAACGTATTGGGTTGTGGTGAAAACCTCGAACGAGTAAAACCGACGTCACTCGGTTTGTTCATGCGTTTATTGAATATGCTTAGATAGCAAGATCGATTGCATAGAAGCATTAGAGTGTAAAGGACCTGTTCCATCGTTAGTGGAAGTGGTGACTATTGGTGCCGCGTAACTTCTCCCAAAAACCACCGACTTCTGGTACGCCTTGACAGCTTTGATAGCTCACGCACTTCAGGAAACTGCAGCAGAACGTGAGAGCTTATGATAACTGGAAGCTGAAGGGCTGAAGACTAAGCGCAAGGCACCAGATGAAACCTATGGAGTTACAACTACATTCAAAGAGAGCGGTTGCACTTCATCATGCACAACGCACTGTCTAGAGAATGGGAGAATCCTGTGGGAAACAGTACATCAATGACCAGAAACAGCATTCTCCAAACTGAGGAAATGAAACAAAAAGAGCGGAACAAGATACGAAATGCCCCGAGACAAACTGCTGGTCAATTGTTCACTTGCAATTCAGAACAGTGATTTGTAAGGGGATAGAATGCATCACACTGACGTAATAAGCGTTTGGCTGAAAATTCCGCCCAGAACAGGATGCTAGAACCCGATAGTTACATAAAGGAAGATAACTGCGACTGAACAGCTGCTCTTCTTGGAACATACTCTAAAGGGCATGAGGACAGCTACGAAATATGAAAGATAACGCCATATATATATATATATATATATATATATATATATATATATATATATCGCGAGACTCGGCTCGCTGAGCAAGCTAAGTTGCATGAAGCAGGTGCTGGCTTTGCGGTATACTGAGTGGGCAAAGCCGCCTCAGCACCACTTGAACATGGGGTCGGATTTGCAATATCCGATCGCTTAAATGGTCAGCTAGGGGGTTGACCAACAGGAATCAGCGAGCGACGGTTGACTGTATGCCTACGACTAGGAAGTAGTAAGTTTGCCACATTTATAAGCACCAACAGTAAAAACGTGTGTTATCCGGAAGACGCGTGATCAGTTCTACATTCAGTTATCTTCCGTGATACGATCTGTGCCGAGCAGTGATCGACTATTTCTGCTGGGTGATTTCAAAGCGCGCGTTGGGCGTGATGCATCAGTGTGGACAAATGTCATCGGTCTGCATGGCATTGGTTCAGCGAATGCGAACGGTGACAAGCTGCTCTCACTGTGTGCGACTCACAGTCTGACGATCACGAAAACTCGGTTTACACTGAATGAGAGTGATATAGCAACTTGCACGCACCCACGGAGTGGTCACGCTCACCTGCTCGACTTTGTCATCGTACGTCAGCGTGAGATGCGTGAGTTGCCATGACACGTGTACTGCGTGGAGCTGAGTGTGGCACTGATCACAAGTTGGTGCGGACCAAACTGTACATATATTCTCGTAAATTTACGTATTGCACTCCCGCCGAGAATCGGTGTAAAGGTAAAGTTCTCTCTCTCGGTACAGTGGCGTAAGGTATTGAGTTGGGGAAGTAGATGGCTACAAGCCTGTGTGATGTGGACTGTATAGCCACAGGGGGCGACCTGTGGCACCACATTCGAAACCAGATGACAGCCACTACCGAGGAGATCATCGGAAGTGCAAACTGTAAGCAGCCTGACCAGTTTAATGAGAACAATGCGACGATTGGCGCATTGGTGTCATAGAAGAATGCAGCATTTGCTGCACATGTGGCAAACCCCAATCACTTGGAGAAGAGTGAGTTTCGTAGAATTCGACGGCGACTGATCCGAGAGCTCCATCGCATAAAAAGTGCTTGGTGGACGGCGAAGGTGAAGCAGATGGAATGCTACGCCGAACGCCGCCAACACAAGGAATATTTTGACTCCTTAAAGACGATGTATGGACCGAGGTTGGAGATGTGAAGATGAGTCTTGCGGACACACCGACAACGGATGAGATGCAGAAAGCACTTGCTCAGCTGCGAAACGGCAAGTGTGCTGGGGCCGACGGAATCCCGCCTGAAGTATTGAAACACGGAGGACCCGCTTTGGTAACTGCGCTACACCACTTGGTGCAATGCGCATGGACTGAGGAGGAGGTGCCTCCTGAGCTGAAGGATGCCCTTGTGCTACCACTGTACAAGGGCAAAGGGAGCAAGCAATGTTGCACGAATTATCGTGGCATCAATTTGCTGAGTTGTGTGGGCAAGGTGATTGCCGGAATCCTGCTCAACCGCCTCGTCAGTCACGTTGTGGAACCGAACGTGGCGGAAGAGCAATGTGGATTCCGTTCGGGTCGCAGCACTATATATATGGTGTTTGCGGCTCGTCAGTTGCAGAAGAAGTGCAGAGAACGACACCAGCCATTGTATTCGCTTTTTGTTGATTTCCCCAACGCATTTGATACGGTGAACCGCGAGGCATTGTGCCTGGTGTTGGGTAAGTTTGGTTGCCCGCGTAAGTTTGTAAGTTTAATTGGATGTCTGCACAGTGGTATGCGAGCGAGGGTGCAGCTGAGTGGAGAGACCACGGATGACTTTGTAGTTATCTCTGGTGCGAAGCAAGGCTGTGTCTTAGGTCCTGCCCTGTTTAATATTTATCTTCATGCAATAATGTCCAGTGCTTTTAATGCCGCTTGTGCTTACGGTGTTCGTGTGGAGCACCGTATTGATGGTGGGTTGCTGAACAACCGTCGTTTCGGTGCGAGAACTCTAGTCTGTGAGACAACTATCCGTAGGTTGCTGTTTGCTGACGACTGTGCGTTGTTAGCACACAGCGCGGATGAGTTGCAGCACATGACTAGTGCTCTGGCTTCGACAGCGGCCGAATTCGGGTTCCCCATCAACACAAATAAGACTCTTTTCCAGCCTTCACCCGAAGCGCCGTTACGGCGTACAGCTGACACACTATTTTTTGTTATTTATTCACCCGGAATGGAGTCAATGTGCCTGTCCCAAATCCAGGTTGCCGACGAAGTGTTGGATACCACTTTGAGATTTTGCTACCTTGGGAGCGTAATATCAACTGACTTGCAGATGACGAGCGAGCTGCAGGTGCTGCATTTGGCAACCTGGAATGTCGCATGTGGAAGAACCACGAGCTCACTGTTGGGACGAAGCTGCAAGTATACAAGTCTACGGTGCTGTCTTTTCTTTTATACGGCAGCAAAACGTGGACGCTTTATCTGAAGGAGGTCCGTTAGCTGGAGCCCTTTCATCAACAATGTCTGGGACGTATTGTGAGCATCGGCTGGAGTGATCGAGTTGCAGACATGTAGATGCTCCGAAGTAGTGGCATGTATGCAGCGGAGTGCATACTTTTACTGGGGCATCTGAGGTGGCTCAGGCATACTCGTCGTATCGATCCTACTCGGATACCGAAACAGATGCTTTTTGGCTAACTGCGTGCAGGGAAACAGCAGGTTGGAAAACCCAAGTTACGTCAACAGGACATAAAGAACGTGAGGCTCAGTTCTAATGTTAAGAATCGTGTTGGGAATCGAAGGCGGTTGATCGACGTGCATGGTGCAATCTAATCACGAAGATCGTTACCGAGGTGCAAGAGAAAGTCCTGTTGCATGCAGAAAAGAAGCGGCAAACGCCGATGGAGTGTACTCCATCCACGTAGAGTGCATGGTGCTGCAGCAGGCTCGGTCGCGAGTGTCTGAGTCAGGCAGGTCTAGTGAGGTATGATCCAGGCCACTCGGGACCAGTATCTAAACGACGGCGCGTGTTGTTGAGAACTTAAGAAAAACCGACGCAGCGTTGGTAAGTACGCCACATTCGAATAAAATGGCGTGCTTGCACGCCGAGTTTCTTAAGTTAAGCTGGTGGGTATTCTAGCTTGTGTTACTGCTTAATTTTTCAACTCATTTTAACGTCTTCGACGAAGGATCCCACTGAGAGCGTAAGTAGAACCGGCACAGCATAGATAGGTAAGCTGCATTCGAGTTACTAACAGCGAGTATGCGCGCTGAGTTTCTTTATTTCAGGTGGTGGGTTTTCAAATTTGTCCTAATAGTTTTCTTTCTCATATTAGTGTCTACCTGTATTATCTTCTGCACACTTGCACGCGTTGCTGAAGCAAATTGTAGTTAAGTTCGATAATATTTTCGCGTTTGTGATATTTCCTTAAAATATGTCTCCTGATCTCGTGAACTTATCGCGGATTCCTTCGTAAACATTTTTATACGCCCATTTAGTGAAGAGATATGTCTCCGTATCTGTATGCATTATCCGATTTATTTTATTACATCTTATCGTTTCAAGTGGTTGGCTGCTGCTTGATATCCTCAGTGTGGCTGCGCTTGATGTGCATGTTGACAACCTACCTACCTGTCTATTACCCACTACATCGTCGACACTGGCTCCAGGAGACAGTTGGTCGTTGCTGGAGGGGACGGGGTGCACGGTCCTTGTGGCCGTGTTAGGGTCAAAGAGTGGTTCCATGCACTCAGTGTGGAGCGGACTACGGTCCAGCCACCGCCTTGTGTGCGATTGTTTCCCAACTACAGCG